GCATAACCATCCCTTGATGTGGTTCTTCTTTCTCTTTTTTAAAGAAATAGAGAATATATGCAGACGGAATAAATTACCATTACAATGGCGAATAAACAACTTAAGTCTAATGAATTAAGTGGTTTGTTAATAATTCTTTACAATGAATATAATAAATTTTGATTTTAAGTTCTAGATACGTGGTTGGATGGATAAGATGTGAGTGGAATTGCCTTGATTGCGATTTTTTATTCCCCATTTTCTTTTTTATGTTCACAAATCTAAATCTTTTTAAGTTCATAAATCATTCAACCATTAAGGCATGTTTTTATTTCATTTTACATTATTGTTTCCTTCTCAAAAAGTTCATTAGAATTGCGAATGAGTCTTGGTCTGGGATGGAATTGGAAAATGTGTGGAAAAAAGGTTGCCTTTTGTTGTCCTCCATCTCTAAAAGAAAAAAAACTCCTTTAATCTAATTTATTTTAAAACACATCCAAGGGTTTTTATACCCATACAGTTTAGTTCCCTTGTTTTTACTTTTTTCAACTTGACATATGCATTCCCAGTTCCATTCAGTTAATCCCAAAACTTTCAGTTTTCATTTTCATGCTTATGTTTGTTTATTTAAGGACACTAACTTATAGAGACATTTATAAGTAAAAATAAATTCTCTAAATTTAATGTATGCAGCTGTGTTTAACATGAAAGATTATGAGGCAAACAAATACATTTCTTCATTTTTACTCGAACCCGAATCCAAATCTTTTACAGATCATGGTAACTTATTCCATTGTTTTAGCAGATTGCGACTCTAATTTTTTCAATTATTAAAACTTAATTTTTAAAATTTTCATTTAAAAAAAAAATTAAATAGAGCATCAACTAAACTAAAGAAGATTAACTTTTTTCTCATGAGTTATGTTACTATTTTTTTTTTTTTTTTGAAGAACAAATAGGATCTGTTAACTTATATTGAAGAAGATTAATTTCTGGCTTTTGAGAAATTAATTACAATGTAGAGGAAAGGAAAAGTGCTGTGTTAGACGTTGTATTGCTATTAGAACTGAAGAAGTTTAACTTCTAACTACACGTAACTACATAAAAAGTTGTCTGGGGAACATAATGGTTAAGATTGTTTTCTTCCTTTTCCATTTTCCTTCCTTGCAGATCATTATGTTGGGTTGAGCACAGATCACTGGACAATGAAATTGGGCTTGACCCTCCTGGAATAAGGGTCAGGCCTGTATCTAGACCTGTAGCAGTTAATTACTTTGCACCAGGTTATTTTGTCTGGGCCTTCTTAATGGCTAATTAGGATATGAGGAGAAAACAATGTATGTATGGCTGCATATGATTGGAGACTACCGCTCCAGAGCACAGAGGTATAATTTTGCTTCATTTCTTCGCCTTGCTTGGAGTTATTTCCACAAACAATTTTATGATTGTTACAAGTATTCACATGTTGCTTCCAAGATGTTGCCGAATTACATTATTTCAGGGTAATGTCCAGGTTAGAAGTTTGCGCTTGGATAACCGGTTTCAATAAAAGACTTATATTTAATTTAAAATCAATTAAGTGTGGGTGGAGTAACCTTCATTATATTTTGAAAAGGCGGAATCTTTTCTATTGTTAGAGATGAAACAGTACCTGTGTTGAGTGCAGGTTTCATGTGTGCAAAAGCTTGGAGAGGAAAAAACCGATTCAACCCTTCAGGCATACATACTTATATCAGAGAGTATCCTCATGCTCCACCAGCTAATCTACTGGGGGGACGAGGAACACAGAGTAGTGCCCATGTTGACATAATGGGGAACTGTGCATTGATTGAGGACATCAAACGAGTCGCAGCAGTGGCTACTGGAGAGGACTCGGTGGAGATCGAGTCTATTCCAACATTTTTAAATGGTCAGAAAGATTAACTTCCAGCTCTAAATCAACTTATAAAGCATTTGGTTTGCATTTAAATGCAAGAAACAGAGCGAATATCCAAAATGAGTGCAGTGCAAGAAGATTCATTGTGTGCTTGGAATCCCTCTTTGTTTAGTGAAGCCACATATCAGGTGTGTGGAAAACTGGAAATTGGCACTCCACATAATAGCTGGCCGCATCTTCAGTTACTGGAGCCCAAACAAAACACAGAATTGATACTTTTTGAGT